GGGGCCTTTTTTTTTTTTTTTTTTTTGGGATGCAGTCTTGCACTATAGTCCAGACTGGAGTACAGTGGTGCGATCTTGGCTCACTGCAACCTCCGCCTCCTGGGTTCAAGCAATTCTCCTGCCTCAGCCTCCCGAGTAGCTGGGATTACAAGCACATGCCACCACACCTGGCTAATTTTTTATGTTTTTGGTAGAGATGGGGTTTTACCATGTTGGTCAGGCTGGTCTCGAACTCCTGACCTCCAGTGATTTGCCCGCCTCGACCTCCCAAAGTGCTGGGATTACAGGTGTGAGCTACCAGCCCGGCCTCCAAGGGGTCTTTAGTCAGCATGTGATGAATCCTGCCAGGACTGGATTCTTCCCTTCAGGGCAGCAGGTTCACTTCTATTCTAGGGTGTCTCTAGAAATGTCGTCCAGGAGCTAGGACCTGAGATGGGGTCCTCACCACTGCCTGGTGCCGTATCTTACTGTGGCTGAACGGGTATCTAAGATGCAAGACAACGTTCTCTTTACCCTTCTTTCTCTTCTCCTCAAATGGAAGAAAGGAGTTACTTTTGTTGCTGCAAGCTTCACTGGGATTGAGAGAGGAGTGGCATAAACACTCCCCCAGCTGTCCTGTCTGGTGTTTCAGTGTGTCATGCACTACCCTTGTCCACTGGCTCTTAAGTCCAGCATAGCATCAGGACTTGCCTAAGAATTGCAGTCCTTGTGTCCTAGACTGTCTTTCAAGTTCACTTAGGATCCCAGAGCACTTTAACCTGCGATTGCAAGGCTTGCTGAAACTCAAGTTTCAGCTTCTGGGATGGGCGCTTCCCCTCTGGGCTAGTGCTGTTCTAAATGGTCCCTCTGTGGGTAGGTGCTGACTGAGTTCAGCATGATTTTGCTTTCCATGTGATAGGGCAGCATTAAGTTCAATGCAAAATTCCTCAGTCACTGTGTTGTTCCTCCCCTGAGTGCGTGGGTTCTGTCTCCTAGCGAAGAAGCCACTGCCGGGGGTTGGGGGAGGGGTCGTGTTGGCCATTTAAGACTGTCTTTCCTACCCTCTTCAATGCCTCTTGGGCGATATGAAGTTAAAACTAGGTACTGTGATTGCTTGCTTGATTTTTGGTTCTAATGAAGGTGCTTACTTGTATGCAGATAGTTAAAATTAGGTGTTCCTGCAGAGTGTACAATTGGTGCAGGCTTCTGTTCTGCCATCTTTCTTCACCCCCCTATCTTGGCTTTTGGCATGCCTTCCTCATTAAGCTTACCTATTTATTTCTGGCTTTTGATTTTAAATTGAGAGATATGGGACTCTTCTTTTCACTTGAACACTTAGATGTCATTGTAGAGTTATTAATTGGCCTAATTTCAATGTTGTCGTATCCCAAGAAATAGGGATGCCTGAAGAGATGGAGAGAGATGGGAATGGTCAGTCTGTGGAGCAGTAAGACACACATATTTGCCTTGGCACACAAATTTGCCATCTTATGTTAGCACTGTATGTGGTGCCCCAAAACAATTAGAATAGTAACAACAAAAATCACCACAGATCACCATAACAGATACAATGATAATGAAATAGTTTGAAATATTGCAAGAATTGACTGGGCGCGGTGGCTCACCCCTGTAATCCCAGAACTTTGGGAGGCCGGGGCAGGCAGATTACCTGAGGTCAGGAGTTTGAGACCAGCCTGACCAACATGGTGAAACTCCATCTCTACTAAAATTACCAAAAAATGTAGCCAGGCGTGGTGGTGGGCACCTGTAACCCCAGTTACTCAAGAGGCTGAGGCAGGAGAATTGCTTGAAACCAGCCGGGAGGCAGAGGTAACAGTGAGCCAAGATCACGCCTTTGCACTCCAGCCTAGGTGACAAGAGTGAAACTCTGTCTCTAAAGAAAAAAAAAAAAAAAAGGAATATTACAAGAATTACTATAATGTGAGACAGAGACACACAAGAGCACATTGTTAGAAAAATGGCACCAATAGACTTACTTGACATTAGGGTTGCTACAAACCTTCAATTTGTAAAAAATGCAATATTTGCAAAATGTAGTAAAGCAAATCACAATATAGTAAGGTATACCTGTAGTGTATTTATAACAGCTATTTTATCATCCTTGTGTTATAATCCTATTATCTGTGACATTTTTATATTGTGACTGTTGATTAATTTTTCTTCTCATTATGCATTATGTTTTTCTGCTTCACATCTCTTTTTATTGAATGTCAGACATTGTGGTTTACATATAGGTGGATGCTGGACTTTTTTGTGTGTTCTTTTGGATACTTTTTGGCTTTAGTCTGGTTTGCAGTTTTTTGGAAATGGTTTGATCCTTTTGACCTAATCTTTGTTAGAGTGGTTCCAGAATAGCTTTTAATTTAGGAATAATTTGTCCTCACTACTGAGGCATTATTCTTCTAAGGACTCTACTTAGTACTCTTATCTGTCAGGAGGTCTTTCCACTCTGGCTGGTCTTGTGTGAACTTTAAGAATGTCCTTTTTTTTTTTTTTTTCTGGTGATTCTTTCTCTGGCCGTAGTTTAATCACACACATGCACAGATCAGTACTCAGCTGAAACCTTGAGAGGACTCTTCTGCAGCTCCCTTCTTTTCTGGTTTTCTGATTTGTAGCTTTTAGCTGTCTTGGACTCTCCAACTCTAAACTGTCTCCTCATGTTAGGAGGATTGATGGACCGCTGAGACCTGGAAATGTCAGGTACTTGTAGGGTTACCTTGCTTATTTCTTTTCTCCAAAAGATCACTGTCTTGTGCTGCCCAGTGTCTGTTGTCTGGAAACTATAGTTTAATATATTTTGTCTATTTTCTAATTATTTAAGGGGAAAGGGTAGACCTGGTTTCTTTTATTCCATTATAGCCTGAAGCAGAAGTCTTAACTTTTATTTCTCCCTCCTACAACTTACCTGATCAATTGACTAATTTGAGAAGAGGAGGAAGAATTTATAATTTGAAAATTTGTCACATACCTTTTTCCACACTAGCCTGTCGAAAAGCAAAAACTGACTCCTAAAACTGGACATTATTGTGATTATGTTTGGATAAGTGGCAATATAGCAGTATATTTCTTTTTGTATTTTTTGTATCTAAATCACTGACTCTGTGAAGCCATTGATTTGATAAACCAAAATACGGTGTAGTAGTTACCCCTTATCAGCGGTTTTGCTTAAGGCAATTTCAGTTACCTGTAGTCAACTGTGGTTTGAAAACATTAAGTGGAAAATTCCAGAAATAACTTTTAATTTTTAAATTGCGTGCCATTCTGAGTAGCGTGATGAAATCTCACACTGTCCTGCTGCATCCTGCCAGGGACATGAGTTCAGTTTATCTGAGCTATATACACTACCCACCTGATAGTTCACTTAGTAACCTTCTTGGTTGTCAGATTGACTGTTGGTGACACCACAGTGCTTGTGTTCAAAGAACCCTTGTTTTATTTAATAATGCCCCCAAGGCTTAAGAGTAGTGGTGCTGACAATTCAGATGTGCCAGAGAGAAGCTGTAAAGTTCCTCCTTTAAGCAAAGAGGTGAAAGTTCTCAAATTAATAAGAAAAAAAAAATATGCTGAAGTTGCTAAGATCTATGGTAAGAATCAATCTTCTATCCATGAAATTGTGAAGAATGAAAAAGAAATTTATGCTAGTGTTACTATCGCACCTTAAATTGCAAAAGTTACTGCCATAGTGCATGGTGTTTAGTTATGATTGAAAAGGCGTTAAATTTGTGGGTGGAAGATCTGAACAAAAATGTGTTCCAATTGATGGCAACATGTTGTGCTGGGCTAACTTAATCTCAATTAAATTAAACTTTATCATAGTTATGTATGTATAGGAAAAAACCTGGTATATATAGGGTTTGTTACTGTATGAGGTTTCAGGCATCCGCTGGAGGTCTTGGAACATAACTCCCAAGGATGAGGGAGGACTACTATGTATGCAAATGATGGATTATCCAGTTTTTAGTTAAAATGTTGCCTTAAAACTCTAATTAGTGGAAAGCAGTTTGACAGTTTGTTGTAAAGGTTTATCCACATTTACTATATAACCCAAGACTTTTGTTTAACTAAGGGAAATGAAAGCAAATGTCTACACAAAAACTTGATGTTAATATTTATAGTAGTTTTATTAATTATAGCCCCAATCTGGAAACATGGATAAATGGAATACTACTCAGCAATGAAAAGGAATACATTACTAATACAACAACATGAATGATTTTCAAAACTGTGCTGAGCAAAAGAAGCCAGACATTAGTCCTTCAATGTAAATTAAAAACAAAACAAACAAACAAACAAAAAACAGACACAAGAGTCTATAAAATTCTTGAAGAAGAAACAAATTAATCTATAGTGGTAGAAATCAAAGAAGTAATTTTGTGAGGAGGATAAGTATTGGGCTACCACAAGGAAACTTAGTGGAATGATGGGAATGTTCTATATCTTGATTGGTTAGTTAGCTGCACAGGTATATGCATTTGTCAAGACTCATCAAACTACTCTTAAAATATGTTTATTCATTTTATTATATGAAAATTATATCTGAAAAAAGTTGGCTAAAGAAAAGTCTACTAAGTGGGTTTAACAAATAACCTAAAAATATTGACTGCAATCTGAAATGGACTGGGCTCAGTGGCTCACACCTGTATCCCACCACTTTGGGAGGCTAAGTCAGGAGGGTCACTTCAACCCAGGAGTTTGAGACCAGCCTGAGCAACATAGTGAGACCCCATATCTATTTTTTTTAATCTGAAATGTTTAAATATATACGAACTTATATACACATGTCATAGAAATACGCACATTCACAAACACACACCACATATTAACAACCTGGATTCCGATTCTGTTCTAAAATGCATAGTTCTTTTCAGCCTTTTACTTCCTTATGTATGAAATGAGGTTAGTTTAGAAATTCTTTGTATCTGGGTGTAAAAAGAAAGAAGTTAATAAGTTTAAAGTTAATCTTTTAAAATTGTCTTGACTTAAGTCATTTTTTTTTCCAGAAATCTTCCTGCCAAATCTGTGGAAGAAGCTTTACGTCACCGACAAGAATATGATGAGATGGTGGCTGAGGCTAAAAAACGAGGTATAAAATTTAACTCCAAATGGTATAATTTTCTGATTTTAATAGGAAGATGGATGGTAAAATTCATCAAGTCTATCTTCAAGATGATACTGAATTCTTTTTTTTTTTTTTTTTTTGAGACAGAGTCTTGCTCTGTTGCCCAGCCTGGTGTGCAGTGGTGCACTCACAGCTCACTGTAGCCTGACCTCCCAGGCTCAAGCAGTCCTTTTACCTCTCAGCCTCCCAAGTAGCTGGGACCACAGGCACATGCCACAACGCCTGGCTAGTTTTTTGTATTGTTTGTAGAGATGAGGTTTTACCATGTTGCCCATGCTTTTATTTTTCTCTACTATTTTTATAATTAAGTTTGTTCTAAAGGAGGAATAAAATGACATACCAGGATCATAGTTTTTCTGCATGTACTTTTACAAAACTAATAGGAGGAATCTTGAGATTACAGTCATAAAACTTGGACTACTACTATCTGAGTTTATAAATATAAAGATAATAATTCATGAATCTATTAATGAATTTCACTTTTTACCATTTTTATATTTTATAATTAATAATTTCTAATTATTTTATAATTTAATAATTTTAACTTTCTATATGACTGTGAGAATATGATTTGAAACTTAAATACTCTTTTGTGACTTACAGAGTCTCTCCAGAGGCCCAATTGTGTCATTTGATTAGGCACATAAATGCATACTCTTATGTGTATAAATTTACATATTTATTCATTCTCTTCTCCAACGAAAAAAAATAATATCAGGATAATTTAACAGTGTTTATTTCCTGACAGTTGTTATTTCAGGATAAACATACATTTTTAGAAGATATTGCACAGCTGTATACATTTTTAGACTTAACATCTAATGCCTTATTAACAAATGATTTTTTTCCTTTTACTTCAGTGAATGGAACATTATAATGGTATACAGTTCTGCTTTATGGTTTTATTTTGGAAATGAAGTTATTTATTTAATGTTAAGTAAAAATAGGATATATAAGGCTAGTTATATCTTTCTAAAAGGCTTGCTTATTTAAACATTAGTTGAGTGTAGTTTATGGAATTCGAAATATTTCTGACATATCCAATTCAGTTTTTATTTATTTATTTATTGCTTATTTTTATCTTTTTGAGACAGGGTGTTGCTCTGTCACCCAGGCTGGAGTGCAGTGATGCGAACTTGGCTCACGGCAGCCTCAGTCTCCCAGGCTCAGGAGATCCTCTCACCCCAGCCTCCCAAGTAGTTGGGACCATGGCGTGCACCGCCATGCCCAGTTAATTTTTGTATTTTTTTGTAGAGACAGGTTTTGTCATGTTGGTCAGGCTGGTCTTAAACTCCTGACCTCAAGTGATCCGCCCACCTCGGCCTCCCAAAGTGCTGGGATTTTAGGTGTAAGCTACCACATCCAGCCTAAGTTTTTATTTTATTTTATTTTTTTTTATTTTTATTTTTTTTTGAGACGGAGTCTCGCTCTGTCGCCCAGGCTGCAGTGCAGTGGCCGGATCTCAGCTCACTGCAAGCTCCGCCTCCCGGTTTACGCATTCTCCCTGCCTCGCCCTCCCGAGTAGCGGGACTACAGACGCTCGCCACCTCGCCCGGCTATTTTTTTTGTATTTTTTACTAGAGACGGGTTTCACCGGTTAGCCGGATGGTCTTGATCTCCTGACCTCGTGATCCGCCCGTCTCGGCCTCCCAAAGTGCTGGGATTACAGGCTTGAGCCACCGCGCCCGGCCTAGTTTTTATTTTTTATTATGTATGTATCTATTTTAGAGACAGGGTCACGCTCGTTGCCTAGGCCGGAGTGCAGTGATACAATTAGAGCTCACCGCAGCCTCAAATTCGTGGGCTCAAGCAGTCCTCCTGCCTCAGCCTCCCTGGTAGCTGGGATTGTAGGTGCATGCCTCCACACCCAGCTCTTTTTTTTTTTCTTTTTTTTTAGACAAAGTCTCACTCTGTCACCCAGGCTGCAGTGCAGTGGCGCAATCTCGGCTCACTGCAACCTCCGCCTCCTGGGTTCAAGTGATTCTCCCACCTCAGCCTCCAGAGTGGCGGGGATTACAGGTGCCTGCCACCAGGCCCAGCTAATTTTTGTATTTTTAGTAGAGACGGGGTTTTGTCATGTTGACCAGACTGGTCTCAAACTCTTGACCTCAAGTGATCCACCTGCCTTGGCCACCCAGAGTTCTGGAATTACAGGCGTGAGCCACCATGCCCAGCCCCAGCTCATTTTTTTAAAGTTATTTTGTAGAGATGGTGTATCTCTGTGTTGCCCAGACTGATCTCAGACTCTTGGCCTCAAGCAGTTCTCCCACCTGGGCCTCCCTAGAGTGTGTTAACTGACTCCAGTTAAGTTTTTATTTATTTTTAAAGTTTTTACTATATGATTACTATGTAAGATAGTTTTTGGTACTGGATGATCTTTAAAGCATGTTATGATAGGAAAAATATTGAACTGAGAAATCAGATGGCCACAGCTTTAACCTTGTTTGATACTACCTGGGTGTGATACTCTGAACAGGCCTAATGTTAGTTTTCTCATGCGTAAAGTGAGAGAGGCAGGTCAGCTTAATCAGGACTTTGAAGCTTCTCTTTCATCATTTTTTTGTTGTTGTTGGTAAAGTAGTGGAACATTTTGCCCAAGAAATCTTATAGAATGTGAATACATAAAACAAATAAAAGAAAGTAGAGATTGTTGGCCAGGCGTGGTGGCTCACGCCCGTAACCCCAGCACTTTGGGAGGCTGAAGTGGGCGGATCACGAGGTCAGGTGTTTGAGACCAGCCTGGCCAGCATGGTGAAACCTTGTCTCTACTAAAAATACAAAAAATTAGCTGGACATGGTGGTGCGACCCTGTAATCCCAGCTACTCGGGAGGCTGAGGCAGGAGAACTGCTTGATCCCGGGAGGCAGAGGTTGCAGTGAGCCGAGATCGCGCCACTGCACTGCAGCTTGGGTGACAGAGTGAGACTCTGTTTCAAAAAAAAAAAAAAAGAAAGTAGAGATTGTTTACTTGGCCTTCTGCTTGCCCCTCAAGATGGTTTCTAAGGCATATCTGAAAAAACAGTTTGAAAACAGTTTGGCTGGCTGGTCTCTGACATACTCACTGGTTCTAAAATTACATAAAGTTTTGATTTATGACTCACTTGCCTCTGCATTTGAGACATCTCTTCTTCTGAAATTGTGACCTTTGATTTTCAGAGATGTATTTTCTTGCCCCAACTTTTGCCTTAGAATGTAAGAGATGTACTGTTAATATATATGTTTTGGGGGACATTTTAAAATTTCAAACTAATTAGTAAAGTGAAACACCATATTAAAAAGTGCTATTGAAAAAATCATTTTTGAGTGTCCTGTGGGTTATGTCAGAAAATTTATAAACCCTTGTAGGAAAATAGGTATTGGTTAGTTGCCCACAGTTGTTTGTTTTTTATATAGTTAATTCGTAAGAAATTTGACTTCATAGGTTAAGTGTAAATAGAAATATGTGATAAAGTAATCTATTTAAATTATTTTTCTGACTTTTTATTCCATTTACTTTTATAGTAGCACAGGAGATGTTATTTTAAAATTATGTTAATAGCTGGGCATGGTGGCACACATGTGTAGTCCAAGCTGCTCAGGAAGCTGAGATGTGAGGATTTTTTTAAGTCCAGGAGTTCAAGGCCACCTGGGTAATGTGGCGAGACCCATCTCTAAAAAAAGAGAAAACAAAGAAAAGAAAATTACGTTAATCAAGTTCATTTACTTTCACTTTTTCCCACCCTTTCTTTCCCTTTCCCTCCCTCCCTTATTTCCTTCTTTCCTTTTATGATAATATTCTTTTTTAGAAAGTCTATTTTGTAGAGTTTAGGTAGATGGAGAAGAGGACTTTGATCTAGCTTATTTGTATTGAAATAATTTTTACTCGTTTAAAACAGAAATTAAGGAAGCGCATAAAAGAAAAAGAATAATGAAAGAACGATTTAAGCAGGAAGAAAATATTGCAAGTGCAATGGTAATTTGGATTAATGAAATACTGCCCAATTGGGAAGTAATGTAAGTAAGCAGACTTTTCCTGAATTCCCATTTGTCTCTGAAGATCTCCTGTTTCTGATTCTGTATTTTTATTATTCCCAGCATGTATTTTATGCTTTGGCTAAATTATACTATTAATTAATGCCTGAAAATTTCCATATTTATGTCTGTGCCTTTGCTTTTGTAAGTCCCTCAGTGTCTACCACCTACTTCCCTTACTGACTGACCATCCTCTGTGTCTGCTAAGTCTTACCTATCCTTTGGGACCCAACTGAAATGCTAATTGATGTATAAAACTTTTAATGTCTTTAGTTACTGTATTTTCTTAATGCAACATACCATCAATTGTAAGATGCACTATTGATGTAATAGCTATTTGGAAAGAAAATATTAAATATGTAAATGCATTATAAGATGCATTTATTAATATTAAAGTGGTTTTTTTTTTTTTTTTGAGATGGTGTCTTGCTCTGTCACCCAGGCTGGAATGCAGTGGCCGGATCTCCACTCATTGCAAGCTCCGCCTCCTGGGTTCACGCCATTCTCCTGCCTCAGCCTCCCTAGTAGCTGGGACTACAGGTGCCCGCCACCTCGCCCGGCTAGTTTTTTGTATTTTTTAGTAGAGACGGGGTTTCACCATGTTAACCAGGATGGTCTCGATCTCCTGACCTCGTGATCTGCCCGTCTCGGCCTCCCGAAGTGCTGGGATTACAGGCTTGAGCCACACCGTGCCTGGCCTAAAGTGATTTTTAAAGTGCTTATCTCATAATCAAGGAAATACGTTATGTATGATCTTTCCCTTATGTAAATGTCCCATCATCATACTTTGAGACTAATATACTTACCTTGCCTTTGCATTTATTTATTCATTTAAAATTTATTTTGCCAGCATCTTTTTAAAGATAAATAATAATTGTATATGTTTGTGTGGTACAGTGTGATTTGTTTGTTTGTTTGTTTGTTTTGAGATAGTCTCCCTCTGTCACCCAGGCTGCAGTGCAGTGGCATGATCTCAGGTCACTACAACCTCTACCTCCTGGATTCACATGATTCTTATGCCTCAGTCTCCCTAGTAGCTGGGACTACAGGCACCTGCCACTATACCTGGCTAATTGTTTTGTATATTTAGTAGAAACGGGACTTCACCACGTTGGCTAGGCTAGTCTCAAACTCCTGGCCTCAAGTGATCAGCCTGCCTCGGCTTCCCAAAGTGCTGGGATTATAGGCGTGAGCCACTGCACCCTACCATGATGTTTCTTGAGGTTTTGTTTTTTTTTTTTTACGAGGTCTCATTCTGTTGCCCAGGCTGGGGTGTAGTGGCACGATCATGACTCACTGTAACGCCGACCTCCCTGGGCTCAGGTGATCCTCCTCCCTCAGCCTCCTGAGTAGCTGGGACTACAGGTACGTGCCAACATGTCCAGCGAAGTTTTGTATTTTTGATAGATATGGGGTCTCACCGTGTTGCCCAGGCTGGTCTCGAACTCTTGGGCACAAGCAATCTGCCTGCCTTGGCTTCCCAAAGTGCTAGGATTACAGGTGTGAGCCACCTGCCTGGTGCAATGTGATGTTTTGATATATGTTTACATTATGGAATGATTAAATCAAGCTAATTAACAAATCCATCAGCTCACGTACTTCTCAGTATTTTGTGGTAAAACATTTAAAATCTGCTCATTTGGCAATTTTGAAATACACAGTTCATTATTATTTATTATAGTCACCATTCTATGTAATAGGTCATTAACACTTATTTCTTCTAATGGAACTTTGTACCCTTTGATCAACATCTCACCTTTCTCCATTCACTTTACCCTCCTCCGCCCATAACCACCATTCCACTCCCTACTTTTATGAGATTGACTTTTTTGGATTTCATATGTGACTGAGAGTATGTGTTGATTTTTCAGTGCCTTGTTTATTTCACTTGGCACAATATCCTACAGGTTCATCTGTGTTGTTGCAAATGACAGAATTTCTTTCTTACTGCCTTTTAACATAATATTTTAAAATATGCCTTATCTTCCCTCTCGACTAGAGGGTTGGGGATATCTTCTGCAATGCCTACTGTAGTTGGTACATTGGGAATTTGTTGAATATTGGCACAGTGTGACATATTATTTGAGGCACTTTACATAAGTAATTATATTTGATTTTTAGAACTTTTATCAGGTATATGTATTTTTACTCCCATTTATAAGGAAATTCAAGGTCAGAGAGGTTAAGTGATTTGCCCAGGGTTATACATTTAATTAATGGTTAAATTAGATTGGATCTCAGATCTATCTGACTTTAAAGCCGACAGTTTTTTTTTTAGCAGACTTCACTGCTTCTCAAAAACTAGGACTTTACCCACTGTAGATTCTTGGTTGTTTTGTTTTTGGTACTGAATTGGTGACACATTTTTATGTCCCTTTTATCCTGTTTTTTAAATAATTGACTGCATATTTCTGATTTCTCATTGGCATTTATAAAACACATTTCCCTTTGGATTACTGTTGTCCCTTTGGGATCCTATACATCTTGTAGGATGTTGTTGCCTGCAAGCATGAACCCAAAGAAAAGAATGCATTACATACTTAATTCTCAATAGTCCTAAAAATGATTTGATCACTTGGCCATAGACTAAACATAATCCATCATGCAACTAGTATTTTTGGTATAAAAAGTAACTTTCTCCTTTTTTCTCCTCCTTTAATTCTAGGCGTAGTACAAGAAGAGTTCGAGAATTGTGGTGGCAGGGATTGCCCCCTAGTGTCCGTGGGAAAGTTTGGAGTCTAGCTGTAGGAAATGAACTAAATATCACTCCTGGTTTGTATTCTACGTTCAGTTACTCCCACATGTAGAAATAGCCATCTACAGAGTCACACAGCAGATTAGTAGAGTGACCATTAAAATAAATGGCCATTACCATATATAATGTCATTTTAAGAGCATGCTTCATCCCCCCAAAACCTGTTATGATTTAATAAGTTATTATAATTTATATAAGGATTTATGGGTTTTCCTTTAGTTTACAACTATCAATAATCTTCTTGGCATTCAAATATCAAAAACTTCTGGGATTCTACATGGCAGTGGATAATAAATATATATATAAAAAAAGAAAATAGTCAATTATGAAAAGGCTCCACTTTTGCACAAAAAACACATAAATACTGGAGGAAGGCTAAAGGTTTCTTTTCTTCCCTGTTTACCTAACTAAACCAGTCATTTTGGGATTTTTTTTTTTTTAATTTAAAAATTTTAGGCCAGGCACAGTGGCTCATGCCTGTAATCCCAGCACTTTGGGAGGCCAAGTCAAGTGGATCACCTGAAGTCAGGAGTTCAAGACCAGCCCGGCAAACATGGCGAAACCATGTCTCTACTAAAAATACAAAAAAAATTAGCTGAGCATGGTGACACACGCCTGTAATCCCAGCTACTCAGAAGGCTGAGGCAGAAGAGTCACTTGAACATAGGAGGCGGAGGCTGCAGTGAGCCGAGATCGCACCTGTGCACTCCAACCTGGGCAAAAGAGCGAGACTCTGTTTCTGAATGAATGAATTAATGAATGAATGAATGAATAATTTTAAAGTTTATAACTTGATTAGCTATATAAAGAAAAAACTTTAGCTGGGCATGGTGGCTCATGCCTGTTATCCCAGCACTTTGGGAGGCTGAAGCAGGTGGATTGCCTGAGTTCAGGAGTTTGAGACCAGCCTGGGCAACACGGTGAAACCCCTTCTTTACTAAAATATGAAAAATTAGCCAGGTGTGGCAGCGTGCGCCGGGAGACTGAGGCAGGAGAATTGCTTGAATCCAGGAGATGGAGGTTGCGGTGAGCCAAGATTGAGCCACTGCACTCCAGCCTGGGCGACAGAGTAAGACTGTCTCAAAAAAAAAAAAAAAAAAGAGAAAACTTTAAAGAACAGAAGAAGAAAGAAGACTTTCAAAGAGTTATATTATTTTTCTTAAGTTTCTTAAACTTTGGTAGATAGGAGCAAAATGTAGACTAGTTTTTTTGTTTTTGTTTTTGAGATGGAGTCTCGCTCTGTCGCCCATGCTGGAGTGCAGTGGCGCAATCTGGGCTCACTGTAACCTCCACCTCCTGGGTTCAAGTGATCCTCTTGCCTCAGCCTCCTGAGTAGCTGGGACTACAGGTGTGTACCAACACATCCGGTTAATTTTTTGTATTTTTAGTAGAGATGGGGTTTTGCCATGCTGGCCAGGCTGGTCTCAAACTCCTGGCCTCAAGTGATCCACTCGCCTCAACCTCCCAAAGTGCTGGGTTACAGATGTGTGCCACTGTGCCTGGCTTGCAGAGTAGTTTTGATGAATTTTTTAAAAATTAAGCTGGACGTGGTGGCTAATGCCTGTAGTCCCAGCTACTTGGGAGGTTTAGATGGGAAGATTGCTTGAGCCCAGGAGTTTAAGGTTATAGTGAACTATGATTTTGCTGCAGCACTCCAACCTGGGCTACAGAGCATGACTCTGTCTCTAAATTAATAAATAAATAATTTGGCCGGGAATGGTGGCTCACCCCTGTAATCTCAGCACTTTGGGAGGCCAAGGCGGGCGGGTCACCTGAGGTCGGGAATTCGAGACCAGCCTGGCCAACATGGATAAACCCCATCTCTACTAAAAATATAAAATTAGCCCGATGTGGTGGCGCATGTCTGTAATCCCAGCTACTCGGGAGGCTAAGGCAGGAGAATTGCTAGAACCCGGGAGGCGAAGGTTGCAGTGAGCTGAGATTGCACCATTGCACTCCAGCCTGGGCAACAAGAGTGCAACTCCATCTCAAAAATAAAATAGAATAAATAAATAAATTTTTTAAATTAGACAAAATTAGAATAATATCAAATAGAAGAAAGTAAAATACTTTATAGACCAGGCATGGTGGCTCGTGCCTGTAATCCCAGCACTTCTAGAAGCTGTGGCAGATGGATCTCTTGAGCCTAGGAGTTTGAGACCATCTTGGGCAACATAGTGAGACCCTGTCTCTATAAAAAAATCCCAAAATTAGCCAGGCAGCCCACATGTGTGGTCACACCACTTGAGAGGCTGAGGTGGGAGGATCACTTGAGCCCAGGAGGTGCAGTGAGCAGCTGTGATTGCGCCACTGCATTCCAACCTGGGTGACAGAGTGAGACCCTGTCTCTAAATAAATAAATAAATAATAAATAAATAAATAAATAAATAGTTAATAATAAAATGTGCTGAATTGGCCTAAATGATAATGTTAATGCTAGACAATGGCACCACATAAAGACTTAAGGACTTTAGTATAATACGAGAAATAATATATTGTCACTGTTACTTCTAAAATTTTTTTTTTACATTTATTGAAAAAAAGTAATGAGAAAGTACAAGTGTCTGCTCTTCCACCTAAATTGCTATTCTTGATCCTACTGTAAACACTGTTAGCAATTTGGTGTATATTCTTTCTGGTCTTTTTTCTATGTACATAAAGTGTGCATCTACATATGATCAATTTTTTTTTTTTTTGAGATGGAGTTTCCCTCTGTCGTCCAGACTGGAGTGTAGTGGCGTGATCTTGGCTCACTGCAGGCTCCGCCTCCCGGGTCTACGCCATTCTCCTGCCTCAGCCTCCCGAGTAGCTGGGACTAAAGGCTCCCGCCACCACCCCCAGCTAATTTTTTGTATTTTTAGTAGAGACAGTGTTTCACCGTGTTAGCCAGGATGGTCTTGATTTCCTGACCTCGTAATCTGCCCGCCTCGGCCTCCCAAAGTGTTGGGATTACAGGCGTGAGTCACCGCGCCCGGCCCATATGATCAATTTTAAAGCTTTTCTTTTATTTTTCCCCCACAATTTATGCCATAAGGTTATTCTGTGGCTTGCTTTCTTCACCCTGTAATCTATCTTAAACATCTTCCATGTTAGTGCATACAAGTCTGCCTCATATGTACTGTAGCTACACTGTATTCCACAATTTGGATGTACTATAATTTTTTAACCATTTTCCTTGTGATAACCAAATCAAAGACATATATTTTTTCCTGCCATTCTATAAAAAAGACATATATGTTAACATCCAAGTACTGTTTTTCATCCCTCAAAAGAGATTAAAATGAATGAGAATTACCCATACAGGGATGACTGAAAATCATTCATAAATATTTACCAAAGGTCTCAAACAAATAAACTTTGACTGTTTATTTCAGTTCTAAGAATTTACTCTAAGGAAATAATCAGGATTGGATGCAAAAGCTTTTCTGCAATCAGCATTATATATAATTGGACAGAATTATAACAAAAATTTAAATGTTTACCCTTTGTCTGAAAAGCAGTGCCAACTTTGGATATTATGATTATGTATGATTTTAAAATTGATGTTCACAAGTCTCCTGTAATAAACATATTATTTTATTTATTTATTTATTTATTTTGATATGGAGTCTTGCTCTGTGGCGGAGGCTGGAGTGCAGTGGTGCTCTCTCAGCTCACTGCAACCCCCACCTCCTGGGTTCAAGCAGTTCTCCCTGCCTCAGCCTCCCAAGTAGCTGAGATTACAGGCGCCTGCCACCACACTGACTAATTTTTGTATTTTTAGTAGAGACGGGGTTTCACTGTGTTGGCCACACTGGTCTCGAACTCTTGACCTCAGGTGATCCGCCTGCCTTGGCCTCCCAAAGTGCTGGGATTACAGGCGTGAGCCACCGTGCCCAACCAACATGTTAATTTCAAAGAACTTAAAAACTTTTAAAATAGAATTTAAAGGAAGAATTAAGTTTTTATTTAACTTAGAAAAAATTAGAGTTTATATGACTTAACTGTTCTCTCCAAATATAAACTGAGATTACCTTTTCTTTCTGAGTTTGAAACAGATTGAATGTTTTTAACTTATAGTCAGAACTTTCAGTTAGATTTTCTAAATCCATAATAAGAATTTTTTAACATACTGTAATTGTTTAAAGTCTTAAGAATCAATTTTGCAAACAGATAATGAGGTATTGATGGTTATATGAAGTTTTGTTTGCAGTTTTTATTGATAACTTTGGCTTTAGAATCTGAGTTATCTTGATAACTTAGACATTAAAATATTGGTTAAATTGGTGTTAATGTTTTGTGATACTATAATCAAAAGGTTCTTTTTTAGCTTGAAATTTATAGTTTTGTAACATAACTGAGTCATTTATTTCCAACGTAATTTTAGATTTTCTTCACTAAATATTTATGTATTCAAGAATGGAATGTGTGTTTATTCTCTTCTTTTTTATTAGTGTGGAAAAGATGCTATAATTGGATTGAAGTACATTTATTTTTGTTAATTGTTTACTTTTGAATGGCTTTAGTAATTTGACTTGTTTTAGTCATGAAGTTTATACTCATTAGAGAATAGTAGCTAAGAGTGAGGGCTCTAAAGTCAGTCAGATATGGTTCAAATCTTGGTTCCACCATATATATTAGGTTTGTGACCTCGGGCATATTACTTAACATCTAGAAGTCTTAGTTTTTCTTCATCTGTAAAATAGGGGTAAGAATATGAAAGGATTGTTCTAACAGTTATTTGTGATAATATAAGATGATAGTGAAAGTGCATTTTACTGAGAGTATGGATAATATCATAATTGTCACTAAATCAGAAAGCAAAATATACACTGAAATCAAAGTATTCTCTGTTCAAGTCCAAAGTATCATCTTTAAGCCTGCTTCAAATTCTCCCTTTGCAGATTCAAAGCAAAGTAAGTGTGACATGAGGACCCAAGCATCAAATTGAACTGAGATGCAGGTCTTCTTAACTGTAAATCTTACTGGAGAGATGTCCTTTGATGTTTTGAAACGCATTACCACATGTTTATTATTGGATCAATTTTATGACTTCTAAAACTGATGGGTTTGTCTGGTGAGCCCCCTGTTTTTTGGACAGTTTTAAAATTTGGGTAGAATATTGAAGCTGACTGTCTTAGAACCAGTTTGAAATTTTTTTTAAAACTCACAATTTTATACCTAATAACCCCCAAATTTATATGTATAAATTTTAACATATTCATCTCTTCTATGTAGTCATTGATGGAGCCAGGCATAAATAATAGGAATTTTGCCTGGTGTGGTGACTCATGCCTGTAATCCTAGCACTTTGGGAGGCTGAGGCAGGTGGATCACATGAGGCCAGGAGTTCAAGACCAGCCTGGCCAACATGGTGAAACCCTGACTCTACTGAAAATACAAAAAATTAACTGGATGTGGTGGCACATGCCAGTAATCCCAGCTATTCAGGAGGCTGAGAATTGCTTGAACCCAGGAGGGGGAGGTTGCAATGAGCTGAGGTCACGGCACTGCACTCCAGTCTGGGCAACAGAGCAAGATCCTGTCTCAAAAAATAATAATGGGAATATTAAGTTTTTAAAAATTTTTTTCTTTCCAAACTATTAGTAGTAATGAAAAGTAAATAGAAGGGAGAAAAGATTAGAATAGTAAGAGTGTGTTTGAAATATATCTAGTCAGGTATTTGATAATGATACGCTTCTTGGCAATATAAGAATACTTGTTATGGTATAGTCATTACTTTGGAAAATTATGCAGTTGTTTAAAAGAAACAACAGCAGATCTGTATCTACTAATGTGGAACAACCTCTAATATAACAAAGTAAGATACAGATCAGTGCATGAAATACGTTGCCACTTCAATTTTTTAAAAAAGGATTATATATATATGTATATACTTGTGCGAGCATATTTTCATTCTTGGAAGAATTAGAGCTCTGATAACCACACTCACATCTGAGGAAAGGAAATTTATTTTTCTCTCTATACTGTTTTGTACTTTTTGAATTTTTTTTTTTTTTTTGAGATGGAGTCTCGCTCTGTTGCCCAGGCTGGAGTGCAGTGGTGCGATCTCTGCTCACCGCAACCTCCACATCCCAGGCTCAAGCGATTTTCCTGCCTCAGCCTCCCAAGTATCTGGGATTACAGGCACGCACCACCATGCCCAGCTAAATTTTTTGTATTTTTAGTAGAGACAGGGTTTCACCGTGTTGGTCAGACTGATCTCAAAGTCCTGACCTCAGGTGATCCACCTGCCTCGGCCTCCCAAAGTGCTGGGATTATAGACATGAGCCACCGTGCCTGGCCTCCGTTTTGAAATTTTTAAAAACCATGTTCATGTATTACCTTTAAAAAGGAATAAAATTTTAAAAAGAATTAATTGAAGCAAGAAAAGTTATTTTGGACAATATATAAACTTTGGTGTTTGGGCAAGACATATTTTTTCTATTCTTCTGTCCCTGAAATGTCCTATTTTTATGTAGTTTCAAATATCTTTAATAGTTAGTTACAAAATAGAGACAAATAAAATTTGGAAATTGAGAAAATTTTAAAAATCTTTCCTGTCCTGAAGTTTTTATGAGATCCTGCATATGGGAGTGCAGTGACTAGGCACTTAAATTAAAAAGATAGGGGTAGAGATTTTGTTTGTTGGTGACAAACACCAAGTCTATGTGAAACATAAGTATCTTTAGATAGCAATATCATGATGGAGAAACCAGTTTCAGGAGTGATAGAAAGCAAGATCTAGCATCTATTGAAGTGCTAGGAGGTTCCAGGAACTTTACATATATTATCTTATTTAGTCATCAGTAACCCTATAAGTAGGTGTTGTTTTTCTCTGGTTTACAGATGAAGAAAGCTGAGTTCCAGGGTAGCTAAGTAACTTTCTTGTCCCTCAGATAGTAAATGGCAGAGCTAGAATTTGAATCCAGGTCTGATTGACCTCAAAAACCATTTTTTCTGCTGTTCCACAATGATACTTCTTAGCAGAAGCATCTCTTTCTGCCTCATAGGTACATTCTATATTGTAACTACTTGATGATTGCTCTGCAGTAATTTGCTTTCTTTCTGAATAGCTTTGGTAGAATCAAGTACTTAGATTTGCCACTTTTTTGATGCTTGCTACATCAGAGAGACCTGACCTGTAATAGGTGAAGAGTGAAAATTAAAAATTTGCAAATATATTTCTTTCCTATTATTCATAAATTTTTGTTCTCCCCATTCCCTCCAGAACTTTATGAAATCTTCCTCTCAAGAGCAAAAGAACGGTGGAAAAGTTTCAGCGAAACAAGTTCAGAGAATGATACAGAAGGTGTGATTTCTTTTTTTATATAAGAATTTTAGGGCTGGGCGCGGTGGCTCAAGCCTGTAATCCCAGCACTTTGGGAGGCCGAGACGGGTGGATAACAAGGTCAGGAGATCGAGACCATCCTGTCTAACATGGTGAAACCCCGTCTCTACTAAAAAATACAAAAAACTAGGCGGGTGAAGTGGCGGGTGCCTGTAGTCCCAGCTACTCGGGAGTCTGAGGCAGGAGAATGCCGTGAACCCGGGAGGCGGAGCTTGCAGTGAACTGAGATCCGGCCACTGCACTCCAGCCTGGGCGACAGAGCGAGACTCCACCTCAAAAAAAAAAAAAAAAAGAATTTTAGGGTGAAAATTCAGCTACTGAGCATGATTTTGTACCGTGTATCAGAAGCTGTAGTAATTACTTTACATATATCATCTTATTTAATCTTAATAACCCTTTCAGTAAGCAAGGCTAGAGAAAAGACTTGATTTACAGAAGAGTTCATGTAAGTATCATCCTAAGGCCTTTTAGCTATGTCAGCTATTTGTGGAGAACTAAAAGTACATAAAGAAGTTTTATACTGGCAGACAGCAGCTATTTCATCATTCTTTGAAAACTCATTTTTATGAAGCATTGAAATTATAAGAATTAAAATTATAAGTATTCACTTCTGAAATATTTTTTCAAGAATAATTGGTGAGGCTGGGCAAATGGCTCACACCTGTAATCATAGCACTTTGTGGGGCCAAGGCAGGTGGATCACCTGAGGTCAGGAGTTCAAAAGCAGCCTGGACAACATGGCGAAACCCTGTCTCTACTGAAAAAAACAAACAATAGCCGGGCGTAGTGGCAGGTGCCTGTCCCAGCTACTCGGGAGGCTGAGGCAGGGAGAATGGCTTGAACCTGGGAGGCGGAGATTGTGGTGAGCTGAGATCGCGCCATTGCACTGCAGCCTGGGTAACAGACTTCGTCTCCAAAAGAAAAGAATAAATGGTGAAAGTTGCACTTCAGTAGAAATTAATTGAATGTAATGAAGAGTTCCAGTCAGAAGCAGTGTCTACATAAATTACTGTTTTCTTATTTCCTGGATATTTATAATTTGCATGTGTCATTTAACTTTTTGGTCATTGCCTTTTTAAATATTGCTTCTGCCCTATCTTGCCTGTTTTCCTTCTAGACTCCAATTACATGTATAGTAGACCATTTAACAGTGTTTCACATACGGCCGGGCGGCGCCTGTAGTCCTAGCTACTTGGGGAGGCATGAGGCAGGAGAATGGCATGAAACCCAGCGACGGTGGAGTGTCTCGACAGTGACCGAGAGCGCTTGCCACCAGCACTTCCAGACCACTGTGGGCGAACAGAGTGACACTCCGTCTCAAAAAAAAAAAAAAAAAAAAAAACAGTGTTTTCACAAGCCTCTTACACTCA